ATTCTTTCGATCGAATGATAACCGCTTCAGTAACATCTTTAAGCGTGTTGCGACAGCCCTCAACGTGCCTATTGGGTGCCCGGGTGGGTATATAATGCTACTAAGCCCGTATGACCCCGTAAGAAGTGTGATGAAGCCCGTAAAACAAATGTATAGTTGTGTTTGTGCGGCATGCGTGTTCAAAAGTTAATTATCCCATCCGAATCGCTAATCAAATAATTAGAACAAAATATTTCAAAAAGTATGAAACCAAGAATGTAAGACGTAAAGCAAATGAGTTTAAAGGAGACGAAGTTATGTATTCAAGGTATGTGGGGCAAATTAATGTTAAAGCTATTAAATAAATTTGAAATCAATCTTATTATTTTCTCCCTCCCCCGCCCGCCCCCTTTGTCCCATTCTGTTTCGATCTTTACTGTATCTTGTCCCATTCGCACAACGTCCACTCTAATAGTCCCCCCACCCACACCACCAATTTTGGAACATGGATATGGTCACAGCTACGGAAAAGATTCCAACCATCACCAGGCTTTCACCAACCACCACCAAGCTTTCCAGGCTTTAACCAACCACCACCAGGCTTTTACCAACCACCACCAGGATTCCGCTACCACCGCCAACCAAACCAACAACCAAACCAGCGTCAATCAAACCGCCAACCACCTTCAGAAAATACTGTGACATCTAGCGGGTCCACAAACTAAAATGCGATTTTTCGAACAATCAGGGACCATAATTCAGGACGTTACGTTCGGATATGCGCGATTATCGAAAGGAACCACGGTCTTTGTGATATAAACATCAATTTTAAGTTTCATCAAAATCGGATCACCATTGTGACCTCTAGAGGGACCACAAGCTAAAAACGTACAATCAAGGGCCAGAATTCGGGCTGTTACGATCCAATATGTGCGAGTATAGAAAGTAACCGAGATCTTAGGATTATAAACATATATTCAAGTTTCATCAAAATCGATCAAAATTGTGACGACTAGAGGGCCCACAACCTTGAAATACCATGGGGTTTTTTTTTACAATATTTGCGTAAGAAGGGCGGCCAGTTTGGTCCGATTTTCACGAAATTTGAACTCAACCAAACATTACGATGTAACAGTGATTTTTTAAATAGGATAATAACTGTGACCTCTAGAGGGACCAGATGCTAAAAACGCGATTTTAGTACAATCAGGGGCCATAATTCAGTGAGCTACGAGCCGTTATAAACATGCATTTTAAGTTTCATAAAAATCGGATCAAAATTGTGACCTCTAGAGTGTCCACAAACTAAAAACGTGATTATTCGTACAATCAGGAGTCATAATCCATGAAATTATGGTCCGATACATACCAATATCGAAGGAACCGAGAACTTTGGGAGATAGACCTATCTTTCAAGTTTCGTCAAATTCAGATTGTGACCTGTATGTACTGTCCACATGAAACATTTTGTCCGTTACGGACGGACGGATAGGGGCGACGGCATAATACGTCCACAGCGAAGACAATTTTGTATATAAATCTAATGTAGTTTTATAAAACTAGAAAATATCACGAACTGAATTTTCAGTTGAGTGAGCCTTAACAAATAGATTTAGCCACAATACCCGGGACTACTATCCAGGAAGTTATGGTCTGAAAATGTGCGAATATCGACAGGAACTGGGATCCTTAAGATAAAAACATATATTTTAAGTTTCATTAAAATTAGACATAAATTGTGAGCTAGCGGGTCCGGAAACTTGGTATTACATACTTTTACATTATTTTCGGCCATTTTGTCAGGCAGTTTCGGTCCGACTTTCACGAAATCCGAACTTGACCACGAGATCGTTGAGATTTATAAACACGTTTTAAGTTTGATCAAAATCTGATAAAAAATTGTGATCTTTCGAGGGTCCACAACCTTGATACTTTTACACAATTTGCGTACAGAGAACGGCCTTTTTGTCCGGCAGTTTCAATGCGATTTTTACGAAATTTGAACTCAAGCATCATTATGGTGTAACGGTGGGATAGTCGAACGGTTTTTGAAATCGGATACAAATTGTGACCTCTAGAGCAACCACACGCTAAAAACGTGATTCAGGGGTTATAATCCAGAAAGTTAAGGTCCGGTATAGATATGCGCGATTGTCGACAGGAACTAAGATCGTTGGGTTATAAACACATATTTCAAGTTTCCTCTAAACTTTGCACCCGTTGCTATGGGTTCTGTTACAACGTTTTTACGACCCATCTGAACACGTTTCTTACCTGTCCCGCACCACTTCCAATAAATAGCTTGGAATAAAATTTTTGCAGACACTGGTATGTTGAACTTTCGGCCATTCTGCAATCTATGGTTGGCTTATCGCCAGTTAGCAAGTCTTTAACGGCATATTATAATTGTCTAACCCTTGATATTTCGATTTTGTTTTCTTTATTAAATTTTAAATACAGTAATCAATCTGAATACATATTAGTGTGGACTGTGACAAATTTGTTATTTTCTGGAGATCAAGCACCGTTACTTTAAAGTTATTTGGGAGTTAATGTAAATTTTAATACAGGCTTATGTGAGTTGATATTTTGTTCATGATACTGGATGCTGTATTTTCTGTAGATTAACTATTAGTAAGGGCACAATCCCCAGATCCGTGAACTTTTCTCTGGGAACAAGGTTTGGCGCATACTCCTGAAGCAATGGCCCGAGAAATCCCTCTCTGGCCATTGTTGGATTGACTTCTGATACTTGAGCTTTTGAGTTTGTCTATTCTACCCGTCCAATCAAATCTCTCGAATGTACAGCAACATGGCAGTCCTTAATTTAAGCTGGGGTCTTCCCTAAAGCGTTGGACAGTGATTTAAGGTATTAAAAACGGTGAAAGTATTGTTCGTCTCCAAACAGTATTGTTTACAGTGTAGCCGTTTTCATAGCCTCGTCTGTCACGCAATACGTTTTTCTGCAATATTCTGCTATGCACTGGTTAATTGGGCGTAATAAATTTCGTGATGGTGACGTAACGTTATGTAAACAAATTTGGAGCTATGTTTAAACCCGAATGATATTGTTACGCAGTCAGGTATTGGGTAAAATCGGACTATTGACCAGTCATAATTTGGAACAGAAATTTACTTTCATTACGGCAGTGTTGAGTGGGATTAGGTCTAATCAAACGAAACATTGCTAGGAGTATGGTTTTGCGATGGTTTCGGATAGAAGGGAGTAGTAGTAGGCCATATCTTGGTGATAGAAGGGAACCTAGTGAAGATATTTGTAGTTTGTTACCTCTGAAAACTACGGCCTAACTTCAGGAGAGCAGAAAATTCAAGATGGCGGTCAAACATATCTTCTCTAGGGCCCCTTCTTTTAGAAACCATCATCAAATAATATTCCCAGAGAAATGGTAACGGATCGGGACACAACTATAAGTGACCGTGCTAGAGATATGACAGAATCAATCACGGTGGGATGTCTTATGTCACCTGTATTTCTTTCTATATGCATGATTAATATTCCTTAAACTTCTCTTTTTTAACAGTTTGAAAAAAGATAAGTTGCCAGGCAACGAAACATACGCCCACAGCAGCAAAATCGTCTGGGCAGTCAACAAGAGTTGTCGCATATTTTTACTTTATTCAGTAATGAAACATTTATAATACACTAACAACTCATTTAGTAATTATCAGAAAACCATTAGAATTTGTTTGGTTTTTATAAAGTTCTGCCCCATGATAACTTTTAGTATACGAAACTTTTAATATCATGGATTTAGCTGTTCAAGTCATAAAAATTCAATGAAAATCAATATACTTGTTCGTCTCAAGATCTTAAACTCTGTGTATAAATTTAAAGTCAATCGGATATTAACTTTGGCCTCTAGGGCGTCCACAAGATTTTTGAAGTGATCAAGGGCCATAACTCTGGCAGTAATTATCGAAAGTCGTTGAAAATCAATAGGATTCTTCGTCTCATGACCTCAAACACTGTGTATAAATTTAAAGTCAATCGGATATTAACTTCAGCCTCTAGAGCATCCACAAGATTTTTTGTTTTTGAAGTGATCAAGGGCCATAACTCTGGCACTACTTATCGGAAATTGCTGAAAATCAACGGGCTTCTTCGTCTCATGACCTTAAAGACTGTGTATAAATTTAAAGTCAATCGGATATTAACTTTGGCCTCTAGGGCGTCCACAAGATTTTTGAAGTGATCAAGGGCCATAACTCTGGCAGTAATTATAGAAAGTCGCTGAAAATCAATGGGCTTCTTCGTCTCATGACCTTAAAAACTTTGTATGAATTTAAAGTCAATCGGATATTATACTTGGCCTCTAGAGCGTCCATAAGATTTTTTGAACTGATCAAGACCCTTAACTCTGGCAGTAATTATCGGAAATCGTTGAAAATCAATAGGATTCTTCGTCTCATGGCCTCAAACACTGTATAAATTTAAAGTCAATCGGATATTAACTTCAGCCTCTAGAGCGTCCACAAGCAATTGTGGACGCCGGACCGACGGACGGGGGCGACGACAATATACGACCACGTTTCAATGTGGGCGTATAAAAACGGAAACAAATGGAAGATCAAAGCAAGAAAGGCAACTCTTATTCTCATCAGGATTCAGACTAGTGATTATTTGCCCATTGTTAAATGGCTGTAACATCACAGGCTGTAGCTTTTTTTTCAACATTCCGTTGGTTCCGTTCTTTATAGGAACAATGGGGGCCACACTTGGCAATATCCTCATCATAATTTTGTAGAGGGTTGACCGTTTAGATTTTTTGCTCCAGGGATTTGATGTTGACTTGGGTGAAAATCTCACTTCCGACACAATGATTGCTCTGCAGAAAGACACTTTACACCCCCTATCCCTCAACTGTAATATCATCAGTATTACCCAAAACTGCTATGAAATTGCAAATTTGATCCCTTTCTCCAATTCTAGACCAAAAAGTCAACCCAAAAATGCAGGAAGAGGGGAGAAAAAAATTAAGGAAAAAATTGTCTATTTATAACTCACGGTTTATTTAATATTATATAAATACAACGCAACACTCACTCAATATAATTAATTAGCATAACAATAAGAGTTGTCATTCTGTTAAAAAAAAGGGTAAAGTTTTGATATAATATATTAAACATCTATGTATATAAAAAGAAAGAAAAAAACAATAAAAATGTGTTGTTTTATTTGAAATACAGTGTGTTTTGGGTAAATCAATAGACGGAAAAATAACAGGAGTGTTTACAAGACACTAAAAAGTCTCAAACAATTATATGTATATAATTATAGACAGCCTTTTCTTATTCACTTGAAATATAATTGTGGTCCCACATCGTCTTGTTCACCAGAATTTAATTCTGGAGTGTTCAAACGAGTGTCTCTGTCCTGCGGAAATAGAACTTTATCTAGTATCTCTGCAATAAATCACAAACCTGGATATGGAGCAATGAAACTGCCATTCCGAATTCTTGGATCATTAGATAGGTAGTTATTGACTCAGTGGAAGATTTTTCATTCAATTATTTCTAGTCAGGCTTTTAAGGGTTAAAGCGGTAAGTCGTTATTTTGGCTTCCAATGTTTTATTTAGACATTTATTAACATTACAAGCCCCATAATTAACTCTCCAGACCATCGGATGGACAAAATGGATAATCCAGACTTAATCACCTTTATCTAGTAACATTACTATGATAATAAATGATCTACGATACATCTTCAAACAGTAATAACTTCACTCAGAATAAAGTAATTTGAATCAAATTTTCAATATATTCATTTTTCATTATCTATTTGTTAACTATTATAGAAAAGATAGGTTGCCAGGCAACGAAACATACGCCCACAGCAGCTATATCGTACGGGCAGTCAACAAGAGTTGTCGCATATTTTTACTTTTTTCGGTAATGAAACATTTATGATACATTAAAATCTGATTAAGAGTAACAAGTAATTATCAGAAAACCATTAGAATTTGGTTTTTATAAAGTTCTGCCCCATGCTAACGTTAAGAAAGTGAAAGTAATTATGTCAACATATCCTTTCCATAAGTATAACCCGAGCCCGAACGTCAATATTACCTGCAACAGGTAAATTTCAACATTAGTAATTTCCGCCAGTTCTCCGTCGGTAGTCGGAACTTTCCGTCAATAAGCAATCCGTGACGTCATTTTAGTCCTTCTGCACATAGAAATATAGACTAGAATATGAGCAGAGGGACTAAAATGACGTCACATTTACGGAAAGTTACGACTACCCTCGGAGAATGGCGGAAATTGCTAACGTTGAAATTTACCTGTTGCAGGTAATATTGACATTCGGGTTCGTGTTATACTTATGGAAATGATATGTTGACATAATTACTTGCATTATTTAAAAAATTTATAAACCATTTCCGGTGACCTTTAAAGTCAATAGGATATTAACTTTAGCCTATAGAGCGTCCACAAGGCCGGGGGTGACAACAATATACGACCACATTTCAATGTGGGCGTATAAAAACAATCAGCCCTTTATCTCAATCTTACATAATATATCTTTAATATTTTATTTTCAAGTTGTCTTTGCTGCCGTCATCAAGTCTGATTAGCTAGACAATGGCCTTATACAATATGGTCATTATTGTCAATTGTTAAGTCATATTTATATACATTAAGCATAGATGACTTCACTATCATGTAGTCTAACATCTCGGATGTCATCTTCTGTTATTCCTTTACTGGCTAATTCTTCCTTTACACGTTTCAAATATGTGGGGTCTGGAAAACCAAAGCTACAAATATGAAAACCAGAACATTGAATAAACCAAAGCTACATATATGAAATAAAAAACGCTGGACAAATCAAAGCTACACATATGAAATACAGATCACTGGATAAACCAAAGCTACACACATGAAATACCGAACACTGGATAAACTAAAGCTATAGATATGAAATACAAAGCTTGAATTTGAGCATAATATTTTATGTGACACTGACGTGTGCTTTATTGACAGGTTTACAGAAATGTAGGTTAAATGTAGGAAATGTAGGTTAAAGTACCTTTATCAGTTCGATAATATTTCCCTTATAGCATATGTGTGTCTTTACTAACCCAGTTGCTACAGAGTACAGAGAAGCTGTAAATAGTCTGTACCACTTGTATGATTATATAAATACTAGAAGAATGCCCGGCTTCGCTCGGGGGTCATAACCCCGAAACCGGAAGTGGTAGACTAAGGCCACCTGGCCTATGTTACTCCTCGGTCCGAGCTACCCCTATACCCCAAATTTCCGACTCGGGGCAGACCTAGTGTAGCCCCCAACCCCGAACAGACAGACAAACAGACAGACAGACAAACGACAGTCACAAATATTCCCTCATAGCGTATTATATGTGTGTCTTTACTAACCCAGTTGCTACCGACAAGTAATAAATAGTCGGTACCCGTTAAGATTTTTTTTTTTAGGGGATCACGTGGCGAAGTGGGTAAGACGCTGGCTTGCTAGGTGTTCGATCCCTGCATTGGCCGAGAAAGTTCATCCAGATTTTCCGGCGTGGTTCTCCCTTGTCAGTAATGCAAGACGGAGGGGCTGACAAGGAAAGCTGTCTAGTCCTTCGGATGGGACGAAAAACCGAGGTCCTGTGTACATATTGCCGTGCCCGTCTTCATTAGCCCAGTTCGGAGCAAAACATTAGGATGTTAAACCCCATTTCATTTCATTTCACTTAGATATTTTTGAGGCCAAGTTCAAGTTTGGTCAAATGTCACAAAATGTAAACAGGACTATCGCTAATCCTAACCCTAACCCTTGACCTAGTGATAACCTTAGCCTAACCCTAACCTACAATCCTGCCAACAATCATGTGCCCTAACCTTATTTACATCTTAGCGACTTTGACGAAAATCGAGTTGGCCTTAACAATTAGATCTATCTGTCTGTACCACTATGTGATTATATAAATATTGACTCTGGATCTGCACTCTACCATAATGCTAGATTAAGCCCCTGTGTTGGACTGCCTTTCATGGATGTTTTATGATTTGCACAATACAACAATACTTACTACATCGGACCGCCTGACATGGATGTTTTATGGCGTATATCATTCCACATAATACGATTTTCTTGTCCGGTTGTTGTCGATCTTCCCACCGTAAAAATCAGTTTTCTCATAAATGCTACTATTAACATCTTACAGACATTTTTACCCTTGGTTGTAGCCGGTAAATAGGCTGTACGACTTGTAGGTAAATACCTGGTGCCTGGATTTGGATGATTCTCCTAAAACATAAAAAAAAAACCATAAAGGACTTAACAATAAAATTAGAGATAGGTTGCCAGGCAATGGAACATAAAGTTCTGCGGGAGAACTTCTGCCCCATGCTAACCTTTAGTATACAAAACTTTTAATATCATGAATTTAGCTGTTTGTCTCAAGACCTTAAACTCTGTGTATCAATCTGAAGTCAATCGGATGATCAAGGGCCATAACTCAATATGATTCTTCCTCTCATGACCACAAACACTGTGTATAAATTTAAAGTCAATCGGATATTAACTTTAGCCTTTAGAGCATTTACAAGATTTTTTGAAGTGATCAAGGGCCATAACTCTGGCAGTAATTATCTGAAATCGCTGAAAATCAATAGACTTCTTCGTCTAATGACCTTAAACATTGTGTATAAATTTAAAGTCAATCGTATATTATCTTTAGCCTCTAGAGCGTCCACAAGATTTTTCAAAGTGATCAAGGGCCATAACTCTGCCTCTGGCAGTATTTATCGGAAATCGCTGAAAAGCAATAGGCTTCTTCGTCTCATGACCTTAAACACTGTATATAAATTTAAAGTCAATTGGATATTCACTTTGGCCTCTAGAGCATCCACAAGATTTTTTGAAGTGATCAAGGGCCATAACTCTGGCAGTAATTATTGAAAATCGCTGAAAATCAATAGATTTCTTTGTCTCATGACCTTAAACACTGTGTATAAATTTAAAGTCAATCGGATATTAACTTTGACCTCTAGGGCGTCCACAAGATTTTTGAAGTGATCAAGAGCCATACTTCTTGCAGTAATTATCGGAAATCCCTGAAAATCAATAGGCTTCTTCCCTTAAACACTGTATAAATTTAAAGTCAATCGGATATTAACTTTAGCCTCTAGAGCGTCCACAATATACGGGGGCGACGACAATATACAACCACATTTCAATGTGGCCGTATAAAAAGTCTCCTTCATTCAGAGAAATGGGGTTAAACGTCCACTTGACACAAACTATGTCATTTCGGAGCTAACATATGGATCAACTTTGTTAAAATAATTTGCTTGCGTGTTTGGGTCTTTAGCAGTGGGAAAAAAAACAGATGACCCGGAGAAAAAACATGAGGTTGGACAGACGGCCTACTCATTTTTCATGTACTAGCGGGGAATAGAAACCATGCCACTTGACTCTATGACAGACCTTTTGATTGTACTGTTAAGCATTCGGTCACCAAACCCTCTCTTCCTTCATTCAGGATAGAGCGACCGTAAACTGAAGAATGAAATGAAAAGTCCTACTTTACGACAAGGGAATTTGCCCTAATAGTACAAATAACGCCTAATCATCGGTGTATTCCAACTGTCATGGGTACTTTTACACTTCAACATATGTAAGGACGTAGGATTCTTATCCTCCATCTGAAGGAAAAGATGTTTTTCCTTTCCTTTTAAAAACCTATAAAATCATGAACACCAGAAGAAAAAGATTAATTGATCTGTACAATTACACGATCTTCAGGGCTCCAGCGGGCAGATCTCAAGTAAATCTTATAGATGAGTTGGATCAATTCAATAATGTCTAGTTGTTCGGATTGAAAGTAATACTGTAAAAAGTAGGTTTTGTATTGTGTACACATTTAATTGTGCACGTATAGTGCCACTGTCCGGACCAAATTTCCCACATAGTACATAGTATGTCTGTTTTCATTAGTCCCATCTGTGCAGAAAATAAGGACATTAAAACCTATTTCATTTCATTTCAATATTTATGCCTAGATAAGTACTGGTAGTTTTATTTTTAAAAGAGTTGTTAGAAAAGGGCCTCTGGTATATTTTTTTTTCTGGGGGTGTGTGTGGGGGGGGGGGGAGAACGTAGCATGTGACCCCATTCTATCCCTCCGCCCCATTGTTTGCCCCACGCTTTTTGATTATCATTGGCTATAACATTGGTTACATGTATATGTACTTACATCTTGAACACCAGATGAAAAAGCATAATTTATCTCATAGCAGCCACAATTTTCTTCTCCTTCTACTCCTCTTTTGGACTTTGTGATCTTCATGACACCAGTTGGCTGATCACCTTTCAAAATACCATAAGTTGTTCCACAAGTTGGACAGACAGGTTTGTAAAGTTTAAAACAGGTCTCAATACAATCTGTACAAAAAACATGGCCACATTTACTCAAACATTTTGGATTATAAGCTACATCCATACAGATAGCGCAAGTTTCAATGTCATCTTCTTCCTCGTCACTGCCATTTTGCATTTCTCTTTGTAAGGTATTTTCATATTCAGGATCCTTACCTCTTGCAATTGGACAGACGTCATTAGCTGCCCCAAACTTAAGGCAAAGACGATTATTTTCTACGTCTTCATAGCTCTCATTAGTACGTTGACAATTTGGGGATTTGGATCTCTCCTTTGATATTCTGCGTTTTGTTTTGGTTTTTTCTGTTTTACATTGCATATCATCAATATTTTGCGATCTACTACCATCATTCTTTTGTGAAACAGTGACATCAGCATAGCTCCGTCCCCCTGGCATCTGTTTTATTGAATGTGTTGCATCAGTATCAAAGGATTTTTTAAAACTGTTTTTTGAACTTGTAGATGATGATGTAATTTTAGTGTCTACTGGTGCCCTTGACTTTAATTCATCACATATCTTTAAGTATGTATTGTAATCATTAGAAACTATATTAATGAATAATAAATGTTTACGTTTGAAATAATTAAAACTTTCAATAGCTGCTTTTATACACTTATCAACTGGTCCGTTTGCCAAACCTGAAATAAATAGAAAACATTGTATTCAAAGACTATTATATCTGGTGGTCCAAAAAAAAAAAAATTGACCGAATACTACATTGCTTGGTAAACCCACCCATAGAATATTAAGATGTTTTAACTGAATTAAAACAAGCATGTTCTGCATAGATCCTACAAGTAGTCTACACTTGTCCTTTAAAGGGGCATTATGGGAGATTAGATAAAGAGTTGACAGTTCTCGCTATAAAAGTTAAAAAATAGATAATGTAAATAGAATATACTGAAAATTTCAGTCAAATTGCTCCACGCTGAACCAAGATATTAGCTTTTGAATTTTAAACTAGCCTGGATCACCATTTATAAAGTCGGTAGGATAAAAAAAATCATTCTTGATTATCCATTTTTACGTTTAATTGTCCTTCACAAAATGTATTCCAATCTGCTAAATATCGCAGGCAGCCGATGGCATTGGGAATTGATTATAGTCTCTCATGACCTTTAACATTGTGTATAAATATACTACTCAAAAGAAGTTAAGGGTCAAACCTTTTTTTCTACCACTTAATTGTCTATGCACATATCAGATATATATATAAAATTATTGGCGGAAATCGTGTCAAAATTGGTTCACGATATCCTGAAGACAAAACCTTTGTACAAGCATAAGGCATATGTCATTTTCAAACAAAACAATTTTGACAGTCTCCTTAGAAACCATAACCTGAAGATCAAAACAAGGCTCCACAAAACTGTTTGCATCGCCCAAACGCAGTAGGGTACGACTTTTTGGAGTTGATTATGTCCATGCACGTGCACTATGCATTTTCCATTAACAGTTTTGGCATAAAAAAACCTTCCATGACCGTGCTGCTCTCAGTTGAAATTTCAACATGGTCAGACGTCAGCTGAGTGAACTTGACAGAGGAAGAGCCATTGCGTGGCTTCAACAGGGTTTTACACAGAGGAATGTGGCACAGAGAATCGGTTGTAGCCAGAATGTGATTGGGAGACTATGGCAGTGTTTCCAGGCAACCAATTCAATTCAGAATTGCCCACGGTCTGGTAGGCCAAGATCAACGTCGCAACGTCAAGACAGGCATGTCATTCAAATGGCCTTACGTCAGCGCGTAGTTACAGCGAGATGTCTCAGAGATGAACTGCGAAATGCAAGTGGTGTTCAGGTATCGGACCAGACCGTAAGAAATCGTCTGCGAGCCCACAACATTCAATCTCGACAACAAGCGGTTCGACCACCTATTCTTCAACGTCATAGGGCAGCACGTCGTGACTGGTGCACACGTCATTGAGACTGGAGACGGCGACAATGGGGGCGGGTACTCTTCACTGATGAGTCCCGATTTGCATTACAGTTCAATGACGGCAGACTTCGTGTCTATAGGCGGCAAGGAGAAAGATTTGCTGATGTTAACGTCAGACAACGCCATCGCTTTGGAGGTGGTACGGTAATGGTGTGGGCTGGAATTTCGGTACATCACATGACTCCTCTTTTCGTTGTCCAAGGAAATTTGACGGATATCAGGTACAGAGACAAAATTTTACAGCCTTTTGTCATCCCAAGTCTTCATCAAATTGGAGCAGGTTCTGTTCTTCAAGATGACAATGCTAGACCGCATAGAGCACGAGTTGTTAATGATTTTCTCACCCAAAATGGTATTCAACGAATGGATTGGCCTGCATACTCTCCTGACTTGGCACCAATTGAGCATGCATGGGATGAGTTGGGCAGACGTGTGAGAGACAATCATAGGCAACCTGATAATCTTCAAGAACTGGTGCAATTCCTTCAGGCAGAGTGGCAGGCCATTCCCCAGATGTTTTTTCGACGTCTGATCGACAGCATGCCTCGTCGTTGTGTCGACTGCTTACGAGCATGTAGTGGTTTCATTCATTATTAACAAAGTTATTGAATTTGAGACAGTTTGGACCTCATTATGCTCAAAATGGCGAATTTTCATCAGATCCTCAGAATAGTTGTGTATAAAAAGTGCATATGCTTTGCATAACAGACTCAACTTTGAGACATATTGAACTCATTCTGACCAAAAGTGTGCTTAAAAGTTTTGATTTGCATGTTGCCTGTGTCTAATAAAATGTCAAACAAAAATAATTGGTTGACCCTTAACTTCTTTTGAGTAGTATATAAAGTCAATTGGATATTAACTTTAGACTCTAGAGCTTCTACAAGATTTTTCAAAGAGGTTAAGGGCTATAACTCTAGCAGTAATTAGACTTCTTCGTCTATTGATCTTAAACACTGTGTATAAATTTAAGGTCAGTCAGATATTAACTTTAGCATCTAGCTACTAAAGAGTCCAAAAGATATTCTAAAGTGATCAAGGATCATAACTCTGGCCGTAATTATCGGAAATTGTTGACAAATCAATAGTATTCTTTGTCTCATAACCTTAAACACTGTGTATAAATTTTATGTAAATCGGATATCAACTTTAGACTCTATAGTTTCTACAAGATTTTTCGAAAAGTAAAGGGCCATAACTCTGGCAGTAATTATCGGAAATAGTTGAAAATCAATAGGATTCTTCGTATTAACTTTAGCGTCTGCAGCATCCACAAGATATTTCAAAGTGATCAAGGGCCATAACTCTGGCAGTAATTATCGGAAATCGTTGAAAATCAATAGGCTTCTTTATCTCATGACTATAGACACTGTGAATAAATTTAAAGTCAACTGGACATTAAATTTAGCCTCTAGAGCTTGCACAAGTAAGTGTGGTCACGGGGCAGACAGGGTGCGTCAACAATATACGACCACATTTTAATGTGGGCATAAAATAAAATTGTACCATGATAGTTTGTGTTGAGTGGACATTAAATTCTCTCTCTCTCTCTTTTGTAACAACCCTGCCCCACCAATATGATCACACCTAAAGGTGCCCTGTCCCTACCGATCTGAAATAGGAACACACCCAAACATGCCCTTAACCACTGTGTATATTAATCTAAAGTCAATTGGATATTAACTGTAGCCTCTAGACGGACAGAAGCGACAACAACATACGACCACATTCCAATGTGGGCGTATAAAAAAACGAAACGAAATATAGATCTGTATTTTACAGGGTTCCCGTGGCTTCGTCAAACATTTTTTCAAGGATATTCAAGAATAAATATACGTCAAATTCAAGGATTTTCAAGGACATTTTTTAGCCTAAAGTTACAATTTTTCATCTTAAAAATAACCAAAACATTACCAACTATCGTTATAATCTCATATTTAAAAGGAATTGAAGACATTTGAAACAAAATTAAGGATCTCAACTGAAATTCACGGATATTTTTCTATTTCCGCGAAATTCAAGGATATTCAAGACCTTGAAAATGAAATTTTAAATTTAAGGATATTCAAGGATTTTCAAGGACCGCGGGAACCCTGTTTTAATCAAACTGTGTTAAAGTTTGGCCAATTCTATTTTTTGATCACCTGATATTTTAGAAATTTATCAACTTCTCTTTAATACTAAAGATGTATAAGTTAAGCCCAATTGCATTCCATTTCATTAGAGATAACTGAGACTTGTAATAGTTATACTGTCTTACAGTAAACATTCTTGGAATGTTTTCGGACTGTTTTCGAAATTTTGAGTTTGTTTCACCAAGTTTTTATGTCTGATCAGATTTTAATAATTTCCCAATTAATTATCATATTTGAACAGTGGTCGAGAAATTAAGCGCTTGTAAATTGGACGCTCATCAAAATTGAATGGTCAGCCTTAAACTGGATACAAGTACATATTAGATGATTAAATACATGCATACAATGTTACCTGATCCCAAAATGGGTAAAGTGATCATTTTTCTTTTACTCTTTTCTGCCTTGTGAAGTATTGTAGAATACAATTTCTTAAGTTCCTCTACCCATTTTGATAAATCTGTGCTGGTACGTCCAGTGTACATGGTTGTTACTGCTAAGTAGATACTATTAAATTCTATGTATAAATCACCTGGATGCAGTTCATATATGTTTCCTTCTACAAGGAATTTGTGTTTTTTGTGTAACTTGGCAAGTGCATCCCTGTAACTCACACCTCCGCGTATGTCCAACTGCCGTGCAATTGCACCTGGGTTCTTCTTTGATGATCCAGAACTATAAACTAAGACATCAGCTTTGACGGAGAATATGTCACCACATTCAACAAAAACAACCATATCATTTTTTAATTTCTGCTGCACATTAACTTTGCTAGATGCCATAATGTTAATTATTTACAACTGAAAATTAAAAAAAAATATTACATTTGGTGAGGCTCACCAAAAGTTAATAAAAAAAAATAATTAAGAAGGGCATACACCATAGAGAGTGCCATGAGGGAAATATCGAATTCCAATTGTCAAGGGATATTTTACATGCATCCACATGTGCACACAAGACCTTGTTTTTTTCGTACCATCCAAATGACTGTACGTTGTCCCTTGCCAGGCCCTCGGTCCTACACTGCACTGACAAGGAAGAACCACGCCACAAAATCCTGTTGCACTTTCTCGGTCAACGCAAGGATCAAACATAGGACCTCGAATCCAGGTTAGCGATTTCCAGAAACAAATAAACATTTGATTGACTTCTGGCTGTTGCTGGTGCAAACATTTATTATACAAAAAATACCGTTAATCAGATGATAACTCTGACAGAAATTATAGAAAATCATTAAAAATTAATAAGCATCTTTGGGTCATAAACATAAACACAGCGTCAGTAGAGACCATTTACAATATCTCAAACACAACACAACTCGTAAATGGAAGTACAGTACTAAACTGGTATTCTACAGTAGGGCATTATACAATGGCATGGTACTGAATGCACATGAACCAGAGAAGCCTTCAGCACCCAGGCATGTGCATAATATAGTAGCCTAATATGGCATAAAGTTAAGTTACTACATATTCGCATTTAAAATTGATTTCAGGTCAAACAGAAAATTAATTATAAAATGCACATTATTGAACTTAGTCTTGTTATTGATGTAATGTAACTGCACACCCAATTCCACCACTCTCAATCAATTAGAGGTTAAATCCCATTTCATTTCTCAATCATTTAGAAAGAGTTGGTACCGGTATTTTAAAGTCACAGCTAATCAAAATGTTTATCTCTGCTTAAGCAGAAAATGTTCATCATCAAACTCAGTCAAACATTCCACTGATAAACAAATACACCAAGTTTGAATATTCTAGCTCAATTAGAATCAGAATTGGTATTTGAACAAATGTGACACAATCATGTGTTCGACGTGGACGGATGAAAAATGGACGAACCCATTATAATAGTAACAGACTTCTTCGAAAGGGAAGAGAAAAATAAATACCTGCAGAAAATTTTCTTATAGCTAAAGCACATAACAAAATGTGTTAAATATTTAACCAGAAACGGGGAAGCATTTTATTTACGATGACGAGAAAAGAGAAATCGAAAGTAGAGTAATCACCCCAATAATGACTTTAATTCGAAATATAAATCGGTGTCCTGAATAAAAACCATATGGCAAATATTCTGAAACTATAGTTGAACCACACAAGAAAAGAGTGGTAAACGCAACTGACAGAGACAAAGTCATATTTATTAATTTGAAACGAGGAAGTATTCCACGATGACAAGAAATTGAAATCGAAACCGAGAGTAGACTAAACACTTTGATCTACTCAAAATATAAATAACGACCATTAATAAACAAAATATGGGTAAATAATATGAGCCTCATTTACAATGCCTTCACTTCGTCTCAACTTAGCAACAATACATTTGAACTTCGGGCTACATGTCATTTTATTTAGAAGCTTCGTAAATATTACCTCGTTGTCACTGTCGTCAGCAGCTCGTAATGCTCTATTTATAGAATAGTCTCTACAATCCAGTATGTTTTTGTTTTTACCGCGCTTTACGTGGGCGTATTCTCTTGGCTTGCCCAGTTTTCTTTTTGATGAAATTATAATGAATTTAAGTTTTTTGCAACCACAGTCACTTGCACCCTGACACTGCAGTAGGCCTAATTATCAGGCCCGTAAGAGGGGGGGGGGGCTTCCTCCCTGCAAAAATTATCCCCCCCCTCCTTCCATTGTCGACAATAATACATTGTCCGTCAATTTTACTGCACCCCTGAGAACATTTCTCACCTCCCTCGTTGATCTGAGATAGTTGCGGCCCTGCTAATTATATATTACTCAAATAATTGCCTTCATCAGGTAGAAACTGTGTGTGATTTGATATTATGTATTTGGCTTAAAAAACATAAAACTATAAGTTTGCTTCATAAATTCTTCTTGAAACCAGTGGCGGCAAAGTCCAAGGTTAAGGGGGCAAAGGCACGAGCTTCAACTAGGGGTAGGGGGCCTCCCCCAGAAAATTTTGAAAAACAGGTTGCTGGAAATGCAGCCTGGCATTATTTCAGGCACTGTTAGATGAGGTAAAGTGTCCAACGAACGTACTTGCGAATCACGGCGAAGCCCACTCACGAGCGTCAAAGTAGGGCGTCCTCCCCCAGAAAATTTTGAAAAATAGACTGCCGGAAATGCTGGCTTACAGTATTCTTCAAGGCACCGATCGTCGAGATAAATAGATCTGCCCAGATACCGTTCGTCGCCTGATCACTAGTTTATTCGACTAGAGAACAAAATGTCAAACGAACGGACTTGCGAACCTCAACAAATTCCCCTTGTGAGCGCCAAAGTAGCAAGTCCATTGGGGACCTCGCCAAGACAATTTTGAAAAATAGACTGTCGGAAATGCTCTACAACATGCAAGTTTATGACTGAGTGGGGATGTGGGATTTATTTGCCCCCCCCCCCCCGACGCCGCCACTGCTTGAAACATTTGAATCCCAGGGAATTCAACAACTTCGTTCTAAAAATCTATTGTAAGCAGCCTTGTTTGCCAAGTGACTTAATTGAGGGAAAGCCCATTCCCATACTCGCTTTTTATTTGTTGATACCTACCTGCTGTCCATTTGCTATATAAATATCGAAGCTAAGTGGGTATGATGCTGGCTCGCTAGCCTGGAAGTCACAGGTTTGTTCCTCGGGGTTGGCCGAGAAAGTTCATCAGGATATTCCTTCCCCTTATCCATGGTGCAGGACGGGGGGCCTGACAAGTACAGCTGTCTAGTCGTTCAGATGGGACGAAAAACAAGGTCCTGTGTATACATTGGCAGGCACATGAAAAATCCCCTGGCAGTTGGAATTCAATGTACGAGTAGGCTAAGCTGTAGCGCTGCGGTGCGGGCAAAATTTCCCTCATAGCACACTGTATGGCGGATGCACGTCTTCAGTAACCCAGTAGGAGCAGAACAGTGGGATGTTAAATTCCATTTCATTTTATAAATATCAAAGCCTAAGTAAATCCCTGGATAATCCTATGACAACTTCCTTTACCATCATTTAATCAGAGTATGCTGTATTTTAAGTATTTCACTGTTCTCACAACCGCTAGTCATTCGAGCTACACTTATCATAATAACCACACTATTAAAAGTTATGTTGCCAGACAACGAAACATGCACACAGCAACTAAATCCTTTGGACAGATACTAAATAATGCAAAATGGATATATTGAACATTTCATTCAAATTACTTTATTCTGAGCTAAGTTATCACTGTTTGTAGTTATGAACAAGAGCATCGCTAACGCTGCAATATACGTCCACATTCCAGCTTTGATTGATATATGGTACTTTTTAAAATGAAGAGAATGAAATATGAAATTGCTGTAATATGATCAGAGGCAAAGAAGGCTAGGCGTCGAGTTTGTTTTGCCAAATATCCAGACAAAATACTAACAATAAAGTTGGTGTGACACTGCCCCAGGAGGTTGGGGCAATCATCAAAATAAATAGTTGCTGTCTTTATGGTATAAGGAATAAATATGCAAAGTTCCAAGATGATCCATTCAGAATTGCAGCATGTAGACTATAAATACAAAAACTGGGCGTGGCTTTGCCTGTGGGGGTTGGATATGGAAACAATATAAATAGGTACCATCCTGTTATTGATATGACAACATCAATAGTTGCCGTCCTTAGGGTATAAGGAATAAGTATACCAAGTTCCAAGATAATCCATTCAGAATTGTGGCCTTTCGGCGTTAAAGGCAAAAATTGGGCATGGCTATACCCCTGGGGGTCAGGGCATTCACCAAATCAATAGTTGATGCCCTTAGGCTATAAGGAATACATATGCGAAGTACCAAGTTGATCCATCAGAATTCCGGCCTGTAAATGATATAAACATAAAAATTGGACGTGGCTCTGCCCCTGGGGGTCGTGATATGCAGTTGTCGTCTTTGGCTATAAGGAATACATATCCCAAGTTCAAAGACAATCCATTAAGAATCGTTACCTGTAGGCAACTCACAGAGACACAAAGAAAAAATGGTTGTGGCTCTGTCCCTGGGGGTTGGGCAATCACCAAAAAACAATTGGGGGCATCCTTAGGGAAAAGGAATAGGTATGCAAAGTTTCAAAAGGAAATGTTAAGAATTGCGGCCTGTAGGCGACACAAAAGGCACACAAATTTTGGGCGTGGCTTTGTCCCAGGGGGTCAGGCATGCACCAAAAATAATAGAGGTCAGCCTTAGGGTATAAGGAATAAGTATAAAAAGTTTTCAAGTTGATTGATTAAGCATTGCAGACTGTAAGTGACATACAGACACACAAAAACAAAATGGGCGTGGCTAAGTCCCTGGGGGCTGGGCATTCACCACAAACAATCGGGATGTTCCTTAGGATAGAAGGAGTAAGTACGCAAAGTTTCAAGGTGATATGTTAAGAAATGCAGTCTGTAGATGACAAACAATGAATAAAAGAAATGGGCGTGGCTCTGCCACTGGGGGTCGGGCATGCACCAAAAACAATAGGGATCATCCTTAGGGTATAAGGAATTCATATGAAATTTTTTCAAAACGATCGATTAAGAATTGTGGCCTGTAGGCGACACACATACGCACACACACACACACACACAGACAGGGGCGACGGCAATATACGTCCACATTATGAATGTGGACGTATAAAAAAATGTGTGCATTGATGGTTTATTCTCATAACTATGGTACTGGTATATTCAAGACTTAGCTAGGCTTCTCTATTTTTAAAATTAAATCATTAAATGGATGAACCGTTCTAGTTAAACTGTCCAGCATCCGATGGCATTTTGAGCTGATTAAAGTCTTGTCATGTTTATAACCATCTAACTGATAAGGCCTAAAAGAAAGACCTGCAATAGGCAAATTTAGCTCTTACATGATGCCTGTTTAATAATGTCCTTTAATGTAAACAAACATTAATATGTGAGCGAACAAATTTCAGAAATGTGGAGGTTTCTAGGATTCAGTTTGTAGATCAGATGACAATAATATAGTATGTTTTAACTCCATACACAGACTGGATGTTGCTGGTTTTCATAAAAAAAAATACCAATATTGCAACTTAACACAAGAATTTCATATTTTTAAGTTATATTTTTAAAATGTATTAAAATAAAGCCTTAAAATAGATGGTATCTATAAATAGTCCTACTTTGTTGAAGAATAATCCTATTAATCCTATAATTCACTATTGCCAGTTGAGAAATTTGCAAAAATACAATTTTCAACTTCAAATGTTTGAAGATAGCTATTCCATGGGGGGGGGGGGGGGGGGGGTGAATAGAAAAACAAGGAAGGTAATTGTGTTATTATTTCCAGTGAGAATGATACCTATGATCCTATAATAGTGAGTTGACAACCTATTGAGCAAAGACATGGAAATAATTATGTTTTATCTTTCTTAGAAAATATGAAATTCTGGCTTTAAAAACACTTCAAGTCAACACAGATAAAATACGAAGAAAGAAATTTAAATTGTTTTTATTTCTCCCTGGACATAAATTAACACATTGATTAACTGAAGAACTGCTCCCGATGATATTTATACATAAACCCAACAGGGTTAAATTGTCAAAACTATAATTGTTGTTGAAAAATGGAAAAAAAGTTGCAATTTATAATGTAAATGTCGTGGAAATGTCTTGCTTCTATTTTAAACACAAATATAAAATATAACCACATCTTTTGTTTCATCATCCATCTTGTAGCAAGTCATTCATACTCATCTTCTGAAAAATATAATACAACACTATTATTAAGATGTATTTATATATAGCTCTTTACACAGAGTAAACAATGAATGTGCATAATATAACTACATGACAGAATATAATAGAGAGAGAGAGAGAGAGAGAGAGAGAGGGGGGGTTTAGCCTCCATTCTACACAAATTAAGTTATTTTGGGACTAACATACATGTATGGTTCAATTTTACTTCAATAATTCATTGCTCGTAGGGGTCATTTAGCAGTGGGAGGAAACTGGAGGACCCGGAGAAAACCCACGAGGTTGGACAGGCGACCTGTATTTGTCACGTACAACCGGGGAGTTGAAAACCCACCTGTTGACTCAATGATAGAAATTATGATACAGCGCGCACATGCTAACCATTCGGCCATCCAAAACCACCCAAATATGATAACAGAGCTGTTTAAATGAAATGGAGTTTAAATGTACTCCTATTTTAAAATTGCAACTGTCAATTATTTTTTTTAAGTGTACATGGAGCCTCGATTTTTGGTCCTATCCAAACGACTAAATGCCGATATTGCAAAACCACGCTAGAAAATCGTGGTACATGTAAGTAGACCAGCACATCACGCACTGAGTCACAGCAGCTCCCTGTGATTGGAATAGCAGCGTTTTCGTTGGCTATTTGGGGTACACGACTAAGAACACAACACAATAATATAATTTTGTCAGATGTTACTTAAAACTGAGTCTGGTACGTTGATGAGTATAAAA